AACTTAATAACAAAGAGGAAGAGATTCTTTCAGCTATTTGTCCCATCCGCTCCCAGCCTCTGGCTGGACATGACCTTCTAAACTGGATTGCTTAGGACAAAGAAAAATAAAATAATAAAGCATTGTTTACATGAAGCTTGCTCAACACCTGTTATTTAAGTGCTTTCTTGGCTGGGCTGTAAGTGGGAGAAGGAAGAAGGGAGGGCAGTCTCGCAGGAGCTGGGCAGAGGAAAGGTGATGTGGTCGATGCATGAGTGATTGGAGGGACAAGCTCACCTCCCAGCTGCCTCCTACCCAAGCATCTCCATTCATGCTGGTTTTGGTGTCAGAACAAGCATTTAATCCTCCTGGCCCAGCTGCAAAAGCTTTTGCCTGGCTGAGTTTTCTCTGTCTGCTGCGCTAAGATCTGGAAGGAGAAACCTGGGTGAGGACACTCAGCTTCTTACGATAGTGGCTGAGCCCTCAGTCCACATTGAGCTTTCCTGGGTGAACTGTTTGATTCAGGTCCCGTGATTCCTTATCTAAATACCTGGTTCTGCCCTGGTCCTCCAGGCTTTTATTTTTGGGTGGATCCACAAGTTCCAGTATGGGAGACAGTGGATTCAGGTGATGCTCTTATCCTCTCCAGAACAAAAGAAAAGAGAAAGAAGCTTGTAAAGCGGTCATGGAGTAGAGAGAGCTGAAGGGCTTATGAGAAATAACAAAGGGGTCATAGGGGTGTAAAGGTGTGAAAACGTCCCACGATCACCAGGGATAATTAAAGCAAAGCTGTGCTGATGCTGGAGCAGAATACGGAGTAGGTCTGGTGTCACTTTGGCAGCAATGCTCCCCACGTCCTGATGAGAGCAGAAGGCAGGACAGGGTCCTCCTGACACCGGAGCGGTGAGCGAGGCCGGCAGAAAGCTGCAGAATGGGTTGTGCTAGGTTTTCAAATAGAGCCTGAGGGACAGAGAAAGAGGTTTTGCTTTGCCAGGAAACCTCGTTCCTGATTTCCCTGCCTCCTCGCTTACCCAGTGTGTCTGGTTTCTTCTCCTGTCCCACAGGAAATCTGCGACGATCCTCATCTCTTTGTGGATGGGATCAGCTCCCATGACTTACACCAGGGCCAGGTCGGAAACTGCTGGTTCGTGGCTGCCTGCTCCTCGTTGGCATCCAGGGAGTCACTGTGGCAGAAGGTAAGAGGCTCCTCATACCAGGGGAAAGCCTGTCTTCAACACCTGGGCCTTGCATTGCATTTGTCCATCTCAAAAACTGGTTTTTCAGAAGTACCTGAGGTCCTGAAAAACTGCTCATGTGCAAAAACTTCCTTTAAAGACTGTCTTTCAAGGAGAATTAGTTATCATGACTGCAGTCACACCACACTCAAGCCAGACCCTTGGCCAATTTCTCCTTAGCAAAGTGGATCAGGTCCCATCCTGTCCTCCAGATCTGACCCTGCCCACTCCAAAACAACCTGAAACCCCAAACCAACAAAATTCAGGATGCTCAGCTGCAGCATTTGGTCCTGTTTCCCTTCTTCCCGTGGTGTTACCTCTCTCTGCCTGCCCAGTATGTGCCCACCTTAGCAATGAGACACCTTGCCCTGGTTCAGGTAGGGGGATTTCAGGATGTTAGTGTCTCTCTCGAGCTGTTGTTTCGCCAAAACATCCATCCCTGGCACTGCTATGTGGTTGGGCTGCACCACATAGTAGTGCTCCTTCGAGTATGGGGTGCAAAGGGGCTGTATTGTGGGCCAGAAAGCCAGCGAGGAGCTGCACCAGAGCAAGGGGCTGCAGAGCTGGGGAGCAACCACAGAGGTACAGGGGGCAAGGAGGTGCTCAGTGCCTCACCCTTGGACAGTCTGTGCCCATCTCCACTGTGTCCTCAGCTGCAGAAGTCAGTCTTGAGAAAGCCAAGGCAGGGGGGTTTCAGACCCTGGTACGGGCGTGTCTTGTTTTAGGACAAGAGACCAGCAAGTCTCAAGCACCTTTTGCTAGATTTTACTTGTCCTACAGTGCATGCAGGCAGCATCACCTCAGTGGATCCAAGAGTGGTCCCTCCACTCCACACCCTTGCATCTGCTCTGTGTGCTGTGGTACTTCTAGTTTTTGCTGTGCGTGGGTTTCCAGGTTAGATGTTAGAAAAAAGTTCTTTTCACTGAGGGTGATGAAACCCTGGCCGGGGTTGCCCAGAGAGGGAGTGGAGGCTCCATCCCTGGAGATGTTCGAGGTCAGGCTTGAAGGGGCTCTGAGCAACCTGATCAGAAGGTAGAATCACAGAACAGTTTCAACTGGAAGAAACCTTCGATATCGTCAAGTCCAACATTTGTCCTAGCCCTATGAACACCACTAAATCATGTCCCTCAGCACAACATCACTGCAGGGCAGTTGGACTAGATGACCTTTAAAAGTCCCTTCCAGCACCGCACATTCTCTGATTCTCTGATTCTGTAATTCTGTGATTCTATGATTCCCTGATTCTCTGATTCTATGATTCTATGATAACCAAGCTCAGCCTTGAGGATTTGCGTTTGTTGCAGCGTCCTCATATTTTGTTACAAATCAAGTCCTTTGGTTATACAGAAGGAGACCAGCTGCTGTTGGGTTTTGGGTGAGGAGTGAGGTTTCGTCTCGTCGTTGGCATGGACCAGGGGGTTTTTTAGCTTGTTCCACTGCGTCGATGTCTCCCACAGGCAAGTGGGTGAGTTGTCTTCCCTCCTCACCATTCGCTTCCAGCCCTGCCCTGGGAAATGCCAACTGAGCAGAAGCCGGGTCCCTTTGGACACCTCATTATTTCAGTTTGTCCACGGCATCGCGTTTCCTCCCTTGGCAATTTGGCTGCGGATGTTTGCGACTTATTTTCCATGCCCTTAGCTCTCAGAGGCTCTTCTTTACCTGCTTCCTCTTTCTTTCTGAAAGGTCTGTTTTCTGGCAGAAGCACAAGCTGCAACCCTCTCCTGGAGCCTTTCCTCCCAGTGATGTTCAGTTTCCTGTGATTTTTGCTCTGGTCACACTTCAGCCCTGCTTTTGGAGACCTCTGAATCAGATGAGACCTTCACTCACATACTTTGCAAGGTGGTTTGAGGGCTTACGATGAACTACAAGGAGCAAGCATGGCTAGAAGCTGCAGCAGCAACTTTTAAAGCAAGATGGGAGATGTCTAATGCACAGATTAAACCCTTGGTCCAAAGAGACACCAATTCTGCTGCCTATGCTAGTCATTGAGCAAGATCACGGAGCCCTTTGTTGGCCAAGAAATGATGGACCTCTCTGTCCTGGTACAGCTGCACGTGCAATTATGACAACATTGCTGGAGGTGCCTGTTGCCCCTTGGCCCAGGTCTCCCATTGCTTCTAAAAAATGTAACCCTGATTTACACCAGGATGTAGTTTCAGCTCTTCTCTCAAATTACTAACAATGGGGCAAGGTGAAATGGCCTGTAGTTGCACCAGGGCAGATTTAGATTAGATATGAGGAAAAATTTATTTACTGAAAGCCTGGTGAGGCATTGGAACAGACTGCCCAGGGAAATGGTGGAGTCTCAATCCCTGGAATTGTTAAAAAAATGTGTAGACTTGGCTCTTGGGGACATGGTTTAGTGGTCGTGGTGGTGTTGAGTTGATGGTTGGACTGGATTTAATTGTGTGCAGCTGGGGAATGAATGATTCCAGGTTGGGTGTGATGGTCTTGATGGTGCTCATGTGGGTTCAGAGCATCCCTGGGAAGAGGTTGCTTGCGTCTTGGACCTACTGTGGTCTGGAGCACAGGACATATGAGGAGAGGCTGAGAGAAGCAGATTTGTGCATCCAGGAGGAGGAAAGGTGAAGTGGGAGCTTATTTCTCTCTGAAGCTACCTAATGGGAAGGTGGGAGACAAGGTGGAGCGAGACTCTTGTTGAATAGTCGCGGGACAAAAGTCAACAGAACAAGCTACAGCTTCTCCTCAGCATGAGCATGACACTGAAACAGCGGCTCGGAGGTGCTAAGGGATCTCCATCCATGGAGACACTCGAAGGTGGAATGGATAAAGCCCTGAGCAGCTTGATTAAACCTTGAAGTAAGCCCTGCTTTGAGCAGCAGGCTGGACCAAACCTTTCCAGAGTCTTATCAAGAGAGGGGATTCTCCCCCTTTGCTCTGCTCTGGTGAGACCCCACCCAGAATCCTGCATCCAGTTCTGGTGTCCCCACCATAAGAGGGACATGGAGCTGTTGGAACGAGTCCAGAGGAGGCCACAAAGTGAACCAGGGGCTGGAACTGCTGCGAGGACAGGCTGAGGGAGCTGGGGTTGTTCAGCTGGAAAAGAGAAGTCTCTTGGGGGGCCCTTATCCCTGCCTGCAGTGCCTGAAGGGACCTACAGGGAGGCTGGGGAGGGACTTTTTACAAGAGTGTCCAGCGACAGGATGAGGGGAAATGAATTTAAATTGAAGGAGAAGAGGTTTAGGTTGGATCTTGGGAAGAAATTGTTGAGTACGAGGGTGGCCAGACTCTGGCACAGATTGCCCAGAGAGGCTGTGGCTGCCCCCTCCCTGGAGATGTTCAAGGCCAGGTTGGATGAATCTGGAGCAACCTGGGCTGGTTCAGGGCGTCCCTGCCCATGGCAGGGGGTTGGATCAGATGATCCCCAAGGTCCCTTCCAACCTCGGCTGTTCTAGGATTCTATGATCTTTCCAAAAGCAGAATTATCCCATGACCGTACACTCAGAGAAACAGAGAAAACCGCTGCCATCCAGACCTGGCTGCACACCTTCATTTCAGGATAATGAGCTGTGGTTGTTAGGGAGGTTGCCAGGGAGGCTGACATCAGGCATCTCATCCCTGTAGATTATCGTGCACAGCAGCGCCATCAGTTCCTCATCTGCAAATGAGGCGGAGGAAGCTCTGGGGGCTCTTTTTGCGTCACTGGCCTGGGTTGCTTAGCGCTGCCGGGACTGTAGAGAGGGAGTTTGGTGGCTTTTCACCACTGTGTGTCCCATTTGAGAGCCAAACATTGCTGAGGACCTAAGCAGAGGAGCAGCCGAGGCGATGGCAGCTGAGGCGAGGATGCTCGAGCTGCCTTTCGTCCGCGATGAGCAGCTCACCCGGTGCATGCGGCTGCGATACCAGAGCCTGCAGCAAAGAAACGTGAAGCCCCAGGACGGGGAGAAGCTGCTGCGTCCCAACGAGCATGTTTACCGGGTGGATTTCATCCAGCAGCACAACCTGCGCTTCCTCCGCTGGGACGTCCAGCTGGAGAGACCTGGGAAAGTCACGGTGACCGGCACCTCCCAACTCTGGACTCCTGATCTCACCCACCTTATGAACCGGCAGCTGCTGGAGCCAGTGGGCATCTTCTGGAAGAAGCCAGGGGCCAAGGAGGTGGAGTCCAATGAGGCGGATGCCCAGGAATTTGGGGAGCGGATAGCAGAGTTAGCCCAGATCCGCAAGGTGATGTATTTCCTCTTTGCTTTCACCGACGGCCTCCAACCAGCTCACCTGAAGGGCTCCGTGGTTTTTAAAGCCTGATCCCCTCTTGCTCAGCTCTTCTTGCTCCAGCTACACTTTTATCTTTGTATTTTCCTTCTCCCAGTTCAGGTCTTAGTTCAATTTTTACCTGTTGGGTTGTGGGGGGTTTTTTTTGAGAGGAATGACATCACGAGAGGGAGGACAACTTGGAGCTTCTGAAGCCCTTCAGCCCTGCAAAACGTTCCCCACATTTTCAGTCTGCTAGATGATGGGGAGGAGGGAGCCATGAGCTTGCTGCTGTATTTGCCTAAAGTATAAGACCATGTGCTTGTGAGTTTTTTTCAGGTCTGACTGGTGCAGGGTCTTGCTGGCTTGGAAATACGAGGCTGCCCTAAGCCCTCCAACTGCAGCAAAAGCCTGATGGACAGATAAAACATTTCACTACTAGAAACAGCAGAAACAACCTGGAGAGAGCCCTGGCTGCCCATTTCCATGCTAGTCATTTAAAAGAGAAAGTTTGTTTGCCATGAGAATGCTTCTCCTTGTGGGGATGCTGAGCGCTTGCAGGCTGCAGTGATTCCTGTGGCTCCCGGTGTCTCTGAAGACCAGCCCCGTGGAGGATCACCTCGCCATGAAGCTCAAACACGTTTGGACGTGCTGCATTCAGCAGATTGCAAACTAGTTGGTGCAGGGAGTTTGGGCACTACCCCTTTTCCTGACAGTCACCACCGTTTCTTGCTGGACGTCACCTGGGGGCAGGTGTGCTCCAGCATGCTAGGACAAAGGTTGGGCTCGATGATCTTGAAGACCTTTCTCAAGAGAAGCTGTTGATTCTGTGTTGCTCACCTTGCGCTTCCTGGAGATTGCTGGTCCTGAGATGGGTTGGAGCAGGCGTGCACGTGTGTACAGAGCTGGACAAGTGAGCCAGCAGCTCAGGGTGGGCTCCAGGTCTGAGCCAGCAAAAGCAACTTGTACGTTGTTGTGCCCTTAAACCATCCACAAATATGTTTGTTCTGAAGCATCCAGAGAGAGCAGTGAGGCTGCAGAGCACTTTGCAGACCACAGAGCAGGAACCTGCTGCTCCTGTCCCCAAAACAGCAGCATCTCCTACCCTCTGCAAATGCTGCGGCAGGGAGCAGTGTCTGGGTGGCCATGGGAGCAAGGAGGGGAGATGGTACTTTCACCGATTTAGGAGCAGGAGGGTGTTTTGTGCCTGCCTCGTCGCATGACTGTGAATAAACTACTAACTTTGGGTGTTCCCTTTTCCTTCACCAGAAAGTGAAAGGTACTTTGGCGAAGCTTCTTGAGGCTCACGAAAAGAGTCCCGTGTTATTACGATCGGTCCTGTGCTACAATTGCACTCAAATGTGGGTGAGCGTTCCTCTGGGTATGGCCTGAGATTTTCCTGAGATGTTTAAGGAGAGGGCAGTGATGGACAAGCTGGGACAAGGTGACTTTTTACCCATGGCATGCTGGCTTGTGTGGACCATCCCCAGAAGAGTCCGGTCTCTTCTTCAAAGCCACCAGACTCTGTGCTCTCCCCTGCCCAGTGTATAAAATGATATGCACGAGCTATGACCAGCAGAGAGGAGAAGGACAGCAGGAGGATCAGCTACTGGCTGGAGAGATGGTGGGAGCTTTGAGTCTTGCCTACAACCAAAGCTCAGCAACCACCAAGCCATGCCATGGGACATTGCTGGAGAAATTAAATGTCTTTATTTAGACCTTGAGAAGTTCTGGACTCAGTAATGAGAGAGAAAAGTGGATGCATCCCCACTTGGCCATAGCATGGACCCACTGTGGGCCAAACCCACTTCTAGGGTCCTGGCAGACTTTCCCATAGGAGATCCCTCTTTGTACATCCCAGAGCAGGGTTCCGGGCTGTAAACCACACCAGAACCAGTAACAGGAACCACTGCCAGCATCCAAAGGGGGTTTTGCATGCCAGGTCTCACAAGCTGCCATTGCTACTTTGCTGGGGTAGAGCTCTTGCTGCAGATACCTCACTGGATATTGATGTACCACAATAAATAAAAGCCAAGTCAACAGGGTTCTCCTTAAAAACTGAGGCTGCGTGTGTCTGCTTCATGCTCTTGTTGGCTGCTGCCCCAATCCTGCATGCAATAAAGCAGCACCCACCAATTTTCAACTCACTGTTGGTATTTTTGAGCACCTTTTTACCTCCCTTAGAAAGTAAAATGAACATTTACCTTCTTTATTCTCTTGGTACAAAAGGCTTAGCGGAGCACTGAGCAGTTTTGTGGGCTTTGGGGAGGAGTTTGAAGCTTGGCAGAGGAGGGGGAATGGTGAATCCACCGGTGGATCCTCCTTTCCTGGAAGAGGGGATGGGAAGTGCGTGGGCAGCATGACCTCTCTCTGCTGCGGGAAAGATTAGCCTCTTTGTACCAGTCACTGAAACTCTCCCTAATCAGTTTCAGCATCCCATGAAGGCTTTCAGATACCCCACTCTGTCCCATCTCCCAGGGGAATTTCACCCCGGTTTCTACCATTGTTCAGCAGACTGGCACAGCCGGGTCCCTCTCTCCCCTTCCCGAGTGGCAAGTTGCAAGCAGAAGAGCTCCTGCTTGGAGGAATCAGCATCTGTCAAGTCCTCCTTTTAATCAGGGACATTTCTCCAGGGTCACAGATGCCTTTCTTCTTAATTAGCCATAAGAAAAAAGAGAAAAGTCCTAAACCAGCTTAGGGAATGAACCTGTTGGTTTTGGTCTCCTGGTTTACCTGACTCTGAGCCCTTTCACTGGTAAATTTGTCCCACTAAAGGGTGTTTTATCTTCAGAGTTTGGGAGCCCCTAAGCAAAAAGCAGCACTGTTGGGTAAATGGGCAGAAGTGGTCTCCACGGCCTCTGCATCACACAACCAAGGTGAGTCCAGGACTCAGTGGGATCCTGGGATGGGTGGTCCATGGCAAGCTCTCCAGCATCCTCTGAGGAGGGGTGGAGATGTCTGAGGAGATTTCCTGCGAGTAGGTGGGAGCCGTGGACTTCAGCTGCATGATGATGATCTCCTGGAGGGCTCTGGGATCCAGCTACTGCTGGGGTTTGTAGATGTGCCCCAGGTTAGTCCTTTAGGTAACACACAGCACTAGGTCACAGGCAGGGGTTGTGCTGTCTGCCTTGAGGTGTGGTGGCCCCATAGGCACCTCCTCCAGAGCTGCCACCTCTTCCTGACAGCCAGGGGAGTCACAGACACCTTGGCCAAAGGGTGAAGCAACTGGAGGGATCCTTGACCTGGGTGGGATTCAATGTTCTGCAAGGGATGCAATGCTCTGTGAGGAGCATTGAGGGGAAGAACATGATGTTTGAGCTCACACCTTGCACCTTGGCATGTGTGAGGACAAATTGAGTTCTGGAGATAAAGCTGCTTTCATTTCTTCTTGAGTTGGTGTAGAAATATGACCAATCCTTCCTCCTTTTGCTCCACTGATGCCATCCTCAGTGCTAGAGGCTGTTTTCAGTGCTGTCTCCAAATGAAGGGATGGAGAAAGGGTGGTGGGGACCAGCATCACCTGCCACCACTAACAGTAATGGCAGATCTCAGAATCAGGTGTCGCTACCAGCTCTGGCTGATGAACTGCCTCTGATCCCTGTCGTAATCATTTCTAGGCCCGCATTAATAGTGAGTTGATTAGCACGATGGTCCTTGGTGACAATTCATTAGGGTGAGCTCCAGTCGGGAGGGAATCGATGGGGACTGAAGGAGAGCTGTCTGACCTTTCCTAGTGCTCTCCCAGAGGGAGTCTGAGGCATCATTGTTAGCACTCCTGAAAAAAAAAACCACCAAACCCTCCGAGAGTGGCTCTTTTTCATGGCGCTGTCTGCTCTGATTCTATCGATCCAGACAACTCAAGAGCGTCAGTCAGCTCACAGGGCTGATGGCATCGTTAATATTTCAGTGTAGGAGCAATAAAAGCCCTGGGCTGGATCGTTGCTGATAGCTAAGGAGTCAGAGGACTCTCCAGAGGGAAGTCTCTCTGCAGGATTTTGTTTTCAGGAGAGCAGCCAAAAAAAAAAGAAAACAACCAAAGGAAGGCTCCAGCAGTTGGACAAGGGCCAAGGCGTGGTGCAGGGATTCTCACTATGGCCCTGGATGTCCTGAAGACTCTCTTTCCATACAAAAGAGTTGTGTCCTGTCCTATCCCACTCCGACACTCACAGCTGTCTCCATAGGAGAGTGATTATTTGGAGTATTGGAACGTAATGTTCCTTGTGGGCATGTTGGGGCTTTTCATCTCTTAGGTCGTGATGTTTAGAGATCAGGTAAGTAAAGAAGCAAAAGTGTGGGCAGCCACTGGCATTACTGAAGCTAATTGTCAACTACTTGTCAACTATCTGTTGACAATGACATCAAACCTGCATTCTCTCAGCCACTCTGGGATTTGCCCACCCAAGGTCCTCTTCTCATTCTTAGAGTCGTAGAACTGTCAGGGTTGGAAGGGACCTTAAAGCTCATCCAGTTCCAACCCCTGCCATGGGCAGGGACATCCCCCACTAGCTCAGGCTGCCCAGAGCCCTATCCAGCCGGGCCTGAAAAACTCCCAGGGATGGGGCTGCCACCCCCTCTCTGGGCACCCTGTGCCAGGGTCTCCCCACCCTCAGGGGGAAGAACTTCTTCCTCACGCCCAACCTGAACCGTCCCATCTCTGGCTTCAATCCATTCCCTCTAGTCCTGTCACT